ATATATATATGGAAGGAGGAGGTAATTTGTACTATTAAAAAATTGTTCAGTTTAAATAATTCATTGTAGCATTTAAGACCCCTCCATCCTGTGTTAAAATCCAAATCTCCAAACACCTATTTTTCTAGTCTTTGAGTAGAGGAGGAGGAGGAGTAAGAGAAAGGGAAGAGGGCAAGGAGGGGGAGGGGAGGAGGAGGAGGAGAAAGAGATGACTTCAACGAAAATTTTCTTGTAGCAGGGCCTGGTGATGCAGGCCTGTAATCCCAGCACTAGGGAGACAAATGCTGGAGGACTGAGAGTTCAAGGTCAGCCTGGGCTACAAAGCAAGACCCTTTCTCAAAACAACACCACGCCTTGTTGTTGTGTTTCTTTAACTTCTTTACAACTTCAAAACACTTTCAGATGCACTGTGATATCACAGTTAAGACTTGTGCAAGATGCTACAAATCATACTACACCCATTTGAGAGATGAGAAAAGTTGAGGTTCAAAGACACACAAACATATATGTTGGTATATTTAAGAGCTGAAGCCAAAATTTCCCTCCAGGTCCAGTGGCCTAGAACCTGAAACAAGGAGCCCCCTGCTTGCACAATGGCTTTAAACTGGAGTCCTTCCTCCCTTCAGCACTTTGGTTTCAGATATCTTCCCAATTTCTATCAGTTAACCCTGAGCCATGCCTCCTGTCACTAATAAAGGGGAAAGACTTGGGTGAGCCACCACTCTGTCTAACCATCCTATTTATTGAACACCAACTAGAAGACAGATCTTGAAGGGTTTGAGCAGAGGGAAATTGAATCTTCTTTGTCCATTTAAAAGGATCACAGTGAATGAAGCCAGGCTTGTTGGCACATGCCCGTAATCCTAGCACTTGAGAGGTGGGGCACTAGGATCAGGAGTTCAAGGTCAGCCTGGGCTAGCTGAGACTGCCTCAAAATAAAACAAAAGAATCACAGTGAGATTAATCACTTTATCAATGGGAATCAATTATCTAAAAATAGTGTTTGCATATTAGCCATACTGGAATTCCCTAGCAAAATGCATTCTTGCCTGTGTTTGTAAATTCTGGAAACAGTTAAACTTCAAGTGGTTTTAATAAGAAGAGCTTGGAAAATGTCTCTGTACAGACTTGATTTCTAATCGTGGTGAAGCCTCATTCCTTAAACCACTTATTCAACATTAACTCATTTGCCAAACTTCCGTCTGCTGGACTCTGGGTAAGACAGACACAGTAGTCTTCATCAAAGGGAAACGTTGGCTCACCACAGTCCCCTGCTCTCAGCAGTCAGGCCTCACAGCCCTCAGCCTGAGATGCAATCAGCTTCCTGTCCCCTCTACAGCCACACTGGCCTTTTCTTTCATTTCTTAGCGCTCTCCTCCCTCCTTCCCTCCCTCCCTTGTCTTTGCATAAACCCCAGTTCTCTTTGCCTTGAAAGTTCATAAGCTCTTGATCTACTTAGCCCCTCCTCTGGCTAAGGTCCCTGTCTCTTGCCCTGCTGCCTCCAGCAGCTTTCTTCTTCCCCTCTGGTAGATCTCTCTAAGGAACCCACTACCTCCTCAGACCTCACATCTGCTTTCAGGACCCTAGGCTCTTGGAGGGGCAGGGCCAGACCGGTTTTGTTAGATGCCAGTGCCTGGCACACAGAAGGTCTTCCAGGAATGAAAAAACAAATGGATGTGGTGGTCTACACAGCTCTGTGGGAAGCTGGGCTACAGTGTGTTGGCGTTTTGTTTTTTAAGACAGCTTTTTTACCTCCTCAGACCTCACATCTGCTTTCAGGACCCTAGGCTCTTGGAGGGGCAGGGCCAGACCGGTTTTGTTAGATGCCAGTGCCTGGCACACAGAAGGTCTTCCAGGAATGAAAAAACAAATGGATGTGGTGGTCTACACAGCTCTGTGGGAAGCTGGGCTACAGTGCGTTGGCGTTTTGTTTTTTAAGACAGCTTTTCCTATAGACCCAGCTAGCCTTGAACTCAAAATGTGGCACAGGATGACCCTGAACTCCCAATCTTCCTGCCTCCACCTTCCATGTACTGGATTGCAAACATGTGACTCCACACCTGGCATGTGACTGAACACCTTAAGGGTGTTCTTGACATCCCTTGATGTCATGCCTTTCCAGATTGGTATCTTAGCCCTTCTAGACACTGAAATGTGGGAGCTGTTCCAAGTGCCCAAGACCCTGTAAGCTTCCAGAAAACAAAAAATTCCATTTACTGCCAGTGTGGTAGCACAGGCTTTTAATTCCAGCACTCAGGAGGCAGAGGCAGGGGACTCTCTAAAATCAAGGCCAGCCTGGTCTACAAAGTGAGTTCCAGGTCAGCTGGGGGCTACAGGAAAACTCATAAATAAATAAATAAATAAATAAATAAATAAATAAATAACAAAAATTCCATTTATTTATTGCTGTGACTTCGGCACTTAGGTTACTTAAAAACGAGATATTCACAGAAAAAAAAAATAGCCATTACCAGGATTTATGAATGCATTCTAGATGGGGAGACGAAGTGGAAGTGTTAGAGGGTACATAGTACAGACGACTTAGTCTACGGTATAGACAGTCTCAAAGACATTTTTAAGTTTGAGCTTACTCTTGCAAGAGAACACAAGCCACTTCCAGCCAGTGGGAGGATGGTGGAGGGAGAGAGGAGAGAGACAGAGAGAAAGAAAGAGAGGAGAGGGAGAGAGAGAGAGAGAGAGAGAGAGAGAGAGAGAGAGAGAGAGAGAGACAGAGAGAGAGAGAGAGACAGAGAGACAGAGAGACAGATCCTCAGTGAAATCAACCTCCCGAGCCTTCACCCCCTCTGGCCTCGCGGAGCCTCAGGAATCAGTGCACGCGCTCTGCTTCTCCAGCTCTGGGTGCCACATTGCTGAGGATCCACATTGCTGAGGATCTCGAGTTAGAGCCCCTCTCCAAAACACAGTAAGAGGGTCCCCGTCCTGGAGAAGGCCACCGGATCTCGGCTCCCTTCCCTCCACTGACACTTCCCCGGTCTCTCCACGCTCGGGGCAGCAACAGCTCCCCAGGCCGCGCCGAGCC